CCCCAAAACCCCAAAACCCCAAAACCCCTTTAGGGAGACAACAAATTGAAGACCTACACCACTATGTTATAAAATCCATCTGAAAGGGAACAATAGCGTTTTCTGGTAAAAATCTTAGGAATTATTTAGGCAAGGGAAAGAGAGATAGGCCTGGAAGGCCGATCTCTATCTTCCTCATGCTAGCAATCTTTGCTATAAAAATGTCAACTTAACTGAAGAACATTCTGTATCATTTTTTCTTCTTATTTCTCATAGATCTTCTAAAGTGGCCAGAGGTGAACCCCATATCGTCTTGCCTGGATGTTTTCAAATTCTTGGTCTTAAGCTTGCTCCTTGGGGTCTCTGAGTAACAGTCGTCTACCCAAATAGCAGACTGTATATCCTTGCCAGAGCTGCTATTAAGCTTGCCAATGAAGCCCTTGGTCTTGTCTTCCTTGCTCTTAATAATCCTGACTCCGTTCTCAGTCCAGGTCCTGAAGTTACCAATCTCTGTGATCTCCCTGACTGGAGAAATCCTCTTGGGCACTTCTACTTGTTCGGTAATCTTGATTCTCTTCTTGGTCTGGTAGTGGTTGATTTCTAGTGAAAAGTTAGATTTTGTGAATTTTTTAAAAATTGAGTTTGGAATTTTCAGAGATTTTAAAAGAAATTAAAACTTTTGAATTGGGTAAAAGGATGAAAAGCAAGGAGATAGAAGAGTTTTAGAGGGGTTTTAAAGTTTTAGAGCAAAATGTTGACCTAGGTGGAGGCAATGAGATGGAAGAGTTTGGAAAGAGTTTTAGTAATTCAATCTTCCTCTTGGCTGATGGAAAAGACACTAGAGAAAGATCTGAGGTAGATAGAGTAATTTTGAGGTAAAATTATAAATTTCAAGGGCATTATTGACTCTAAAATAATGAAATAATAGATACTTAATGTAAAAACAGGGATTTTTAGAATTACAATGCCGGATCTACTCGTATTACTGTTCAAGACATCATTGATTTGTTCAAATAAACTTTTAAGCAACTATTGAAGGGATATAAAATACTTATGAGCTAAAACAATTATGATCCTAAATGATACATTAAAGAAAGCATATTTAATATACCGCGGTTTTCTATGAAACTTCATCTACTCTCTTTCAAGTGTAAACTAACTCGATGGTAGGAGAAACCATTTAAGCAGAATCGTGAGGATGGGGATCCACAGTCTCCTCAGAATGCTTTGAAATTGCTCGCTTGAATTAGATCCCTCAAGTAATTTAAACTAATTTTTCAGAAAAATTCATGAAGACCAAAATCGATCACTCAACATTGAAATGACAAAGGTTGGGCTACAAACAGAGAGAGGAGCCAATAGACATCTAGTTCTAAGGTCAGCCAAAATGTATCCTGGCCTTCTCTCTCCAAATATCAGTAACCATCTGAATTATTAACAGTGTCTTTCTTACTGAACCAGCTTGGTTGAAACGAAATAGAAGTCTTAGAACTAATAAAGGTAAAGTTATACTGAAAAGTTGGTCATAACTAAGTTAGTTGATTTCTTAAGTTCATTTATACAGATATAAATGCCCCAGAAATAGCGTGTTAGATAACCCTTGAGCTTACGTTTCCTCTTCTTGATAATTCTTGAAGAAGGTGGCATGTTAATTCCTGGGAATAAGGGCGATACTGAAACAGGCTTCTGAAACAGAGGAGGACTTTCAATACAAGTCTTATCGTCTTCAGGATCAGGATCTATTATAATGACTTCTTTGGCCTTGCTAATTGAGGCTTTCTTCGTACCCTGGGAGTTTTGGCTAGTCATCTTATTCACTAATCCATCTACAAAATTCACTGCTCTTTGGGTTCCCTCCATTCCAATTTGGTCATGTAGGTTATTTGTTAAAGCAGAGATAAAGGTTTCTAGCTTCTCAGTATCGTTCCAAAACTTGTGGTTGAAATCCTTGATCTTCCCTTTAAAGGGCTTTTTCCCAGCCGCTTGCAAAGCAAGCGACTGGGATTCTCTCTCAAGTCGATTAAGTATTTTTGAGTTAGGCCTAAGTTTGTAGCTCATCTTAAAAATTATTATCAATTAAATGAATAATTTTAGGGGTTTTGGGGTTTTGGGGTTTTGGGGTTTTGGGG